CTCTCTCTCTCTCTCTCTCTCTCTCTCACCTCTTTAGTGAAGTACTTTGGAGTCCAGGGTTTGTTGTCAGCTGTTCTCTTCTTCTCCTCCCCCCTCTGTCTCTCCTCCAGTCTGTGTTTGTGCTCCGTGGCCTCCTCCATGTTCCCCTCCTTCAGAGACTTGGTCACGTGCTGCCACAGGTATCTGCAAACACACAAGGCGTTGAGGTCAAGGCTCAGGGCAGGACGTGATGGTGTTCAACTGTAGGGGCGGTGTCACTGTGTGACCTGGACTCTGTCCTGCTCTGGTTCTCCACTGCCCTCAGCTTCTTCTTGGTGACAGGAAGTTTGTTGGTGTCCATGACTTTGGTCTCTCCACTGCTGTAGGTGAACTCCAGAGTTCCGTTCCACTCACCCTGTGCTTTACACACCAGTGTGTTGGTCAGGTTGTGTTTGACCTCGGCCGTGACTCTGAGGGGACAACAGACGGAATGGTCATTGACAGGGTAAGATAAAAAGTATCTGTTGACTAATTGTTAGCAGTTCACTGTAGGCTGTCAGAGAGTGAAGTGACTAGTGACTGTCCATTTTATTGTCTGTCCTTAGGCTGCTGCAGTGGAGACTCGTCAGGAGGACACATCTACTGAGGACAGAGTGACACGGGTACTGTTGGAAAACTTTGTTCACTGTCATTTACTCTGCACATTGACTGGGCTAACAGCTGAATGTTTGCTAACTAATTGTTTTGCTAATTTAACCAATTCAGTGATTAGATTCGTATTTTTCTGCTATGTTTGTATAATTTTGAAATTTTGTTTTTTAAGGACACTTCACTGTTGTTAGTTGTCTGATGTTGGACCTCAGCTGTCATAATAATAAATAAACAGTTTTTAAAAAGTGTTTTTTTTTTAAGTTTTTTTATAATCTATAAAAGATTCTAGAAAGAAAAATTTGCAGTGCCGGTATCCATATCATATCATCTTATATTACCTTACCTTACATTATATCATATATTATATTATATTATATTATATTATATTATATTATATTATATTATATTATATTATATTATATTATATTATATTATATTATATTATATTATATTATATTATATTATATTATATTATATTATATTA